AGAGCCAAAGATGTTAGAATTGTGTCAATGTCCCAATATTTCTGGACCTGACTGTAGATATAGTGACCATATTTTCTTGGAAAAAATAAAGGACAAACCTGAAAAGGGGGGAAATCTGAAAGAGGTTCATAAGGATTTTTTTTTTAATTGTTTGTTTATATGCTAATTATGTTATGTTTATATATATATAGTGCTTTACAAAGGAAAGTTCAAGAGCAAAACCAAGAAAATAAATAAATCTAAAGAACAGTTTTCTTAAATAAAGGACTGTCCTTTATAATAAAGGATATATGGACACTGTATTTATAGACAGAAAAGTTGTATGAAAGAAAATAGAATACTTCAAGGATCCATGTTATGTTCCAAAATCTTAAAACTACATTCAGAGGTCACATAGCATAGGACTTTTACAGATATTTAAATTATTTTTCATGATAAAGCATTTAAAGTATATACCACTACTTCCCTTGATTTCTTCTTTAAAATTGCACCCAGAACATTAGTTCATTTATTTATTTGTTTGTTTGATTGATTGATTTCTATAACTACCCATCTCAACAAGTGACTCATTACCCCCAAATTGAAAAAGGATATAAAAAGACAACAGATGCTAGCCCTGTCTTGGGTCACCAGCATGACAAGTTTCTGTTGTAATGTAATATCTAATTGACTCCAAGCATCACAACTCTCAGTGAGAAAGAGGATTGCATTTCTCCACGTAGCAGAACTAGAAATGGCAGAAATGAGAGTCATTCATGCTTCTGCTTTTGTGGCTCTCAGCAAATGAATCAGGTATTGATTAGAGACAGTCAGCAGAAGGTCTCTGAGACAGTTAAGTTTATAGGGCACCTAAAAAGCATTTGTGTGTATAGGATAGAAAATGATTAGGGAGAAAGTTGGGTGGCTGAGGGCATAGATAGTATTTAAGAATGTACTAAGAAAAGTATGTCCCTCTGCCAATGTCAGCTCTCCCAGGTAAACCAGACAGGAAACATGACTAGATGAGGCTAATTCTACTTTATTGTAAGGCTACATTAACAGAATCTTGCAAGTCTGAAAGTACAAATTTCCTGCTCTCCCTATTTACCACCTGAGTAGTTAGGGTGGGTCCTTCCTAAGTTTTTTTCTTTGTCTATTACTCTGTTGCGGACTCGT